TCTAAAAAACAAGAAAAAGAAAAAAAGATAAAATAAAGATAAAAAAAAAATGATAAAAAAATGATAAAAATGAAGGTTAAAAAAAAAAGTTCTTTCATAGAGTTCTCATTAATAGTGAGAACACATTATCAATTGTCTTTACAGCTTATATACAAATGCCAACGTTTGACCTCCCATGTGAACGTAGTCAAACAGTCCTAATTACTACGATACCTTCCTCTATTAACATTATTAATATACAAATAAAATGAAAATCGCAGGAAAAAGAAAAAAAAATGTTCTAGAGTCCTTTAAAAAGAATACTCTTAAAAGAATACTCTCAAAAGCCGATATAAAGAAAACATAAAATAACAATGCCTTATGTCCGTACATAAATGTATAATAAAAAATTTGTTTTTTCTTTTTTTTTTTTTTTTTTGGTTTTCCTCCCAAATAAGCGAATTAATGTAGCAAAAAAAAAGAAAAAAAAGAAAGAAAAAAAAAGAAAAAAAAAGAGGGGGGAAAAAGTAAAAAAATAAATAAAAGTGAAAAAAAAGATAAAACTAAGCGCTTTCCTTAACGCACTCCAGGAGGACTCCTACACTTGAATAATAAAACCATTATTTTCGAAACATTCCTCTCAAAGCAATTTGCTTTTCAAAGTTATCGGGTCTTGGGAAGGGCATTTCATAACCGCGCATGGGACCCGCGGTATGAAAGAGTTTAGGACGGTATTCGGGAGTTTCCGACATAACACTAAAAATAATAATAATAATAATTACTATTATTATTACTATTATTACAAAAAAACACTTTTTTTGATATATGTACCCGGAATTTCTAAACTTTTGGATAAGCTCGTTTTTTCCCTGGACATTGGCATACGACAATTCGCAAATCTTGTCAGAATTGAAGCTCGGCCTTTAAAAACGATCATTATTTATTAAAAAATATAAAACCGATCATTATTTATTAAATAGTATAAAAACCTGGATAAATGACGTAAATAACGAAAATGTACATACCATTTTTTTCCAACGCGTGCTTCGGCAAAAGAAAGTACGGCACTTTTTGATTAAAATATAAATAAATATTAGGGAAAATATTAGGGAAAATGTTAGGGGAAAATATATTATGTAAAGAAAAATTTTACCTGACATCCACAAAGTTAATAAAAGCGTATCCAACATTGCACTTATTTTTAAAATCGATACGCAAGTAGACGAAATCGTATTGACCACAATGAGTTTCGTCGAGCCAATCCAACAGCATTCGCTAAATTTCACGCAAGTAATGAAAGTAAGTAATGAAAGTAATGAAGTAATTGTAAGCAACAATACGCTATATTCATTGATAAATTCATTGATAATTCATTGATAATTCATTGATAATAGAATAATTATATACTTGAGTATACTTGTTCGGAATGTTCCTGATCATGAATGTGGTACGATTATCAAGGCCTATTACGGAATGTTAAAATTATGAAATGTTAAACATAAAATCAAGAGAAAATAAAATTTTATAAGAAAATAAGAAACATAAAGATTAAAAATACCATTTTGAATTCTTTCAAGATCAAGAGTATTCTTCTCTGGGATAGATCTATTACCAGAAGAAATTACGGTACTATTTTCAGGTGGGGATGGAGAAAACTTTGCCATATCTTCAGATCTATTTTCTAAGTCCGGTGAAGGGGCAACCGGGAACTGGCGAGGGGGAGGAGGAATGGCCAAACCAGTTTTTTGATGACGCTTAAAGTCTTCTGCAACAGCATCCCATGACTGTGATCCGGCATCGTAATATTGTACACGGATTTGAACGCCCTATGTTTTTATAAATGAATATAAATGATGAAATATAAATATAAATAAATGAAAATAAGAAACGAATATAAATAAATGAATATAAATAAATGAATATAAATAAATGATCGAATGATAAATATATATATGAATTTTACAGTAGAATAAAATAATACCTCAATAATTATGCCATTTATTGACTCTTTTGCGGCACGAGCAGCGCGTGTATCGTAGTATTCAATAAGAAGGACCAAGGTTTGTCCAGCAGAAAGGGATCTGGCAATTCTAATCGTACCCACTTCATCGAAACGATCCTAATAATAAAAAAAGAAATGAATGATCGACAATAAATTTCCTAAAACGAACATAAACGAAACATAAATGAATATAAATGAACATAAATGTATATTTACGTACCAAGATCGCGGATTTAATTGATTGTGCACCAAACCAAGAAACCATGATGACACCTTCGTTCATCCAATCACACTCATTACCTTGGATTTTTGGCAATTCCTGTTTTTACATATGATCAATATTTGTATCAATATTTTAATAATTTTAAATTTTTAATAATAATTTTAATAATTTTAATAATAACAATGTTGATAATAATAATAATAATTTTAATAATAATTTTAATAATAATTTTAATAATAATTTTAATAATAATAATTATTATTATATATATTATAATATATATTATTATTATATATATTATATTATTATATTATATATATTATTACCGTAATTAAAGTTATATAATATACCTGCACAGCGCATGGTTTAGAAGAAAATTGGATTTCCAATCTACGCTGGTTATGAGGCGCGTTTTGATGACGAAGAAATTGGTGTGCTTTGACAGCGTCACGAAGATCATAATAGATCACATAAGCATAACCGATTCCAGCAAGAATTTCTTGGACGTCACCATAAATCTTTTAAAAAAAAAAAAAAAAAAAAAACGCGTAAATTGAAAATTGAAGAAATGAAAATTTGAAAATTTGAAAATTTGAGAAATTGAAGAAATGAAAAATTGAAGAAATGAAAATTTCAAGAAATGAAAAATTGAAAAATTGAGAAAACGAAAAATTGAGACACGACAGTGGCGCAGCAACATAATAACTTAAATACCTCGAAAATTGATCTCATGTGGCGCCAAAGGTTAACATCGGTAGGAAAATTTGAGACATACAACCACCTAGAAGGTAAAGCACCCCAAGTACACCCAAACATCTCTGAAGCATATTTATGAGTAGTAGTAGTTACAACAGGAGAAGGAGTAAACGACTTCGAGTCAGACTTTGACAGCGCTGGGGGGAAACAAAATAGACCTTGACCAGATTTAGAGATCGAAATAGTCTCTTCAACAGGAGTTTGTTCCTTTTGTGGACCAACATATAATTTTGCGATCTGACGAACGATTGATTCCTCATCGTATATACTGGATGGAGTACTAGGAGGCGTAAGATTAAAAGAACAACATCCTTGAGTAAAAGTGACGGCACGAGGATTATGGTCTTTTGACACATTTCTAGAGACGTCCATGTTATCTTTTGAAAAAGTATTATAAATTTCATAAATATTTTATTTAAAAAAATTATTTAAAAAATTATTTTATAAAGAATTATAAAAAAAGAATTATATAATAATGATAATAATTTATAATACTTATATTATATTTTTATAATTATATTATAATAAAATATTAATACTTACTATTAAAAGACAACTTACGGGTTTTTCTTCCGGAGGTACCAAAATCCGTCTCGGAATTGATAATATTAGCTATATCTCGCAATACATTAGTGCGGGGCGCCGGAGTAGAAGGAGGCGAAGGTAAGGATAATCGCTAAGACAAGCAAGAATAAAAGGTAAGACGCGACGAAAATGAATTGTATGCGTTACAAAACGCGCCGATACAGAATTATAAAGGTTACGACATGATCAAATTGTCAAGGAAGGTACCTTTTGATCAACGGAAGAATCAAGTAACGTAACATCAGTCATGGCCGAATCCGCAGTCAATGACTTGATTTCCTCCATGATTTCTAACGATTTTAAAAGTTTTCTAAAGGTTTCCAAAGGTTTCGAAAGATTTCCAATGATTTCTAAAGAGTTCCAATGATTTCTGATAAAATATAAACAAGAACAATGATTAAAGAACTTTTATTTTAATATTTGAAGACTAGGATATATAGATGAAGTATAACAAGTATAACGAATATAACATGTAAAAAAATTTTTTTTTAAAAAAAAAAATCAAAGAAGGATACCTTAGCAAAAGAGGACAATGATCTTTAAAAGTCCAATAAAAAAAGAAAATAGACCAATTTTTTTAATAAATGATAAAAAGAAACGCGAACAAATTGAACAAGAATTCAAAGAACAAGATAGAAGGGGAGTAAAGTAAGGAAAACATACCAACAAGCAACTTTTTAACGATTAAATACGAAAAGAAGTAAAAGTGAAAGAAGATAGATGATAAACTTTTACGTGAATGTCGTGCTAGAAAGGAAAAATTGATAAAGCTAACGGCGAAAGAAAGTGCACAACAACTAGTAACTACTGTTGGAATGGATAGAAGTTGAAGAAAGTAGAGGAAGGCATTTATATGTAATTTCGCCAATAGTTGCAGATCGGTAGGGTTCACCGGATTAATTAGGGACCATATTACGAGTATATTACGGAATCAAGTTATTGTATAGTAAACCCCGCCATTCATGGTGACATCAACATCAACATTTTAAATTAATTATTTATGATATTATATAGTAAGTTATAGTAAGTATATATAAATACTTAAATAATTTATATTATGAATATATATTGAATAATATAAAAACAAGTATAGAAAGTTAATTAATCAGATAGTAATCAATTGGCAATCAATTGATAGTTAGTGATAGTTGCAAATTGATTTCAACCACTCATAACTAATAACGATAACCCAAGCTTCGAAGCGATTCAATTGATTTTATTAACACGAGAAAATGGTACGAGTGATTTCATAAACATAATAAGAAGAATAAACAAGTTTTATTCTAAAAAAAGTATATCTATCAATTTATCACTCAAACCATCAAAATTTTACACGTGAATTAAACCTTTCTCGCGTATCAAACGATTAGTTTCATACTCGAGAAGCTTACTAACCGGAGTATATACTCCGGATTTCGATTATCCGTTATCGAAAATTTTTTTGTCAGGTAGTACAAAAGTGTCGTGACCAATTGGAATCAAAGATATACTGCAGACAATGCAGCTTTTTGCTTTTTTTGTCTATTAATTTTTTCTTGTGTATCGGTTTTCCGTTTTTTTTTGTGAATTATTATTGTATAATATTACAGTATTAGACAATAAATAACAATAAATAACAGTATATAACAGTATATAGTAGTAAATACTAATATAATATATAATCTTCTATAATATATGTACATATACATGTAAATATACATATACATATACATAGATATGTATATCTCATATATATGTATATCTCTCTAATAATATCTCTAATAATATCTCTAATAATGTCTCTAATAATATCTTTAATAGTATCTTTAATAAAATCTCTAATAGTATCTCTAATAGTACCTTTAATAAAATCTCTAATAGTATCTCTAATAGTACCTTTAATAATATCTCTAATAGTACCTTTAATAATATCTCTAATAGTATCTCTAAAAATATCTCTAAAAATATCTATAATAGGATCTTTAATATCTCTAATAGTATCTTTAATAATATCTCTAATAGTATCTTTAATAGTATCTCTAATAGTATCTCTAATAATATCTCTAATAATATCTCCAATAATATCAATTAACCATATCTTGTTATCTTGCTTACATCTTAATTATATTTTAATTATATCTTAATTATACCTTACTTAACTATAGTTTACATATATAATTTAATATCAGTTTCCAATAAAGTTTTCGATCAACAAAATTATACGTCAATTTTCCGGACGAACGTTCAAGAACAAAAGGCAATCTAAGGCGTATTGTAATACTGGATTATATAATAACACTGGTTGGCGTTCATGGGAACTTTCTAGCACGTAACTTGTTATAACTTTCTATGAATATCATTAATAAATTCTTGCATAAAATTAATTTAACCATTTTCCTTTCTTTAACGTTAATTAACCTTAATTAAAATTAATTAACATTAATGGTTTAATTGCCATCAATTTTATAGTTAAAATTTTATAGTTAACTTTATAGTTAACTTTAATAGTCAATTTGATTGTTAACTAGAGTCAAAATAACGTCAATTAGAATCAAATCAATACGTCAATTAATGTTAATATTAATGTTAATAATATTGATGTTAATGATATTTATGTTAATAATATTTGTTAATGATATTGATTTGATAATATTGATATTAATAATATTTATGTTAATATTAATGTTAATAATACTAATATTAATGTTAATAATACTAATGTTAATAATATATATTAATGTTAATAAATAGTAATACTAATGTTAATAATATATATTAATATTAATAAATAGTTCTTATTAAATTAAATGCCCAGAAAGAATAAAATGCATTACTTTCATTACCATCATTATATTCAGGGTACATTAATCGCTAAATATCTCATTGTTCTTGCAGCTTTGTTTATTCACTTTATTCGTGCTGCCAAATTTTGCCTTTTATATTATTGGCAACTGAAACATTCTGTTATGACACTTTTGACATCTAACAATATACGATCTACAATCTTGTTTAAACAATCTATTTTAAATTTCCTTATCGGGGTAAGAAGATTAAAATATATGACTCGGAGTTGTCATTATTTTAATTTCATCATAACTCTAATTAAGTCTTAGCTTCTTTTTATTCTATTTTTCCTATTATGGATTTAGAATTCTGAAAAGAACGTTGTGTAACAATTATCGATGGAAACTTTGAAAATGAAGCTGGCGTTTCTACTTATCCCTTTTCAAGTATATCTTCCCCGAATTCTTTTATGACTCAATCTTACTTTATACTTCTTTAATTTACTTGATTTTGTTTCAATTTACCTGATTTTACTTCAATTTACCTAATTTTACCTGATTTTTACTTCAATTTACTTGATTTTATTTACTTGATTTTATTTACTTGATTTTATTTACTTGATTTTATTTACTTGATTTTATTTACTTGATTTTATTTACT